CATACAATCAATAGTACCTGTAGTGACACACTATGACATAAACATCATTATTACCATTACTATGATTACTATACTATTAATACTATAACCATTACTAACTAATACTATTACTATCACTCCAACTGTCACTTCCTATTGTGATTATAAACTCGTTGTTTACAACAGTTTCTGGTCTTTGCTTTCCATTTGAAAGTGTATTCATTTTTATTTGAATTACTCTTTTTATGAATTGATTTGTGGATCAATTGAGCGCACAATTAATGCCGCTTTTGTTGACCATTGAGTGAATTGAACAGTGATTTTGTTACAAGTGTTTGAATGCATATATTGTTTGTGAAACTAATTGATGATTGTTTTGATTGATTTGAAGGATTGATTGATTTGCAAAACACCCGAAAGCCAGAGACCGGTGGACACTGTTTGACGGCAATTGACAGTTGAGTTGATTATGAAAGTGACCGCAAATTGAAAAGAAGCGAAATGTCCGACAATTGCGAGCAAACGCCGGCAGACGTGTCTTCGAGCGAACAAATGGTTAGTTTGGTTCCCATTCAGAGCGAAGACAACAGTATAGGCGTTGAGTTGATCGCCGGCGACACCGATGAAGAATTTTTTGGCACTCAAGCCATTGAACTGAATGGCGAACGCCATGTGATCGTATCCCAAGCACAGGATCCCGAAACCGGCGAATTACTACTTGTGCTGAGAGGCGAAAACGGCGAACACATTGCCATCCAATCGGAAGCGCTGTCATCGATGGTTCAGGCGTCGGGCGGAGAGAACATTCAGGTGGCTCACAGGATCCCGAAACCGGCGAATTACTACTTGTGCTGAGAGGCGAAAACGGCGAACACATTGCCATCCAATCGGAAGCGCTGTCATCGATGGTTCAGGCGTCGGGCGGAGAGAACATTCAGGTGGCGGTTGTCTCCCAATCGGACGAAACGGCTCTCACTCTGGCGTCGGATATCACTTCTCTCACGCAATCGGTTTCCACATCGGAATTGAGTCAAATGTCGTCAACATCTTTGGCTGTTTTGCCGCCCATTATAGCGAACATTGCGAGTCAGACACCGACACCACACACGGCGCCCACTAATGTGGTCCAGTCTATCGACACACCTATTGTGTCACAGGAGGAACAGCCCTCCATCTTAACGACACCCGCTGTCAAACCAGAATCAGGTTTTTCCCATTTTCAAACCCATTATTATTGTAATTATTATAACATTTATTATTATTTTAGAAACAGTTGCGACAGAAATATTAACCGATAATACGATAGCAACGGATCCAAAGGCAGAGATTGGAGTCGAAAAAGATGTTACGATTCCTATTGAGAAGCCATTGGAAGAGCAGACAGTAGAGGCGCCTAAAGTTGTGGAGTCTGTGGCCTCACAGGATCCCGAAACCGGCGAATTACTACTTGTGCTGAGAGGCGAAAACGGCGAACACATTGCCATCCAATCGGAAGCGCTGTCATCGATGGTTCAGGCGTCGGGCGGAGAGAACATTCAGGTGGCAGTTGTCTCCCAATCGGACGAAACGGCTCTCACTCTGGCGTCGGATATCACTTCTCTCACGCAATCGGTTTCAACAGCGGAATTGAGTCAAATGTCGTCAACATCTTTGGCTGTTTTGCCGCCCATTATAGCGAACATTGGGAGTCAGACACCGACACCACACACGGCGCCCACTAATGTGGTCCAGTCTATCGACACACCTATTGTGTCACAAGAGGAACAGCCCTCCATCTTAACGACACCCGCTGTCAAACCAGAATTAGGTTTTTTCAATTTTCAAACCCATAATTATTGTAATTATTATAACATTTATTATTATTTTAGAAACAGTTGCGACAGAAATATTAACCGATAATACGATAGCAACGGATCCAAAGGCAGAGATTGGAGTCGAAAAAGATGTTACGATTCCTATTGAGAAGCCATTGGAAGAGCAGACAGTAGAGGCGCCTAAAGTTGTGGAGTCTGTGGCCACTAATGAGTTGCAAACAACAGAATCTATTTCTGTCAATACTTGTACTGATATTTCCGGCAATGAATCACAAAAAGCAGTTGAAGAGAAGGAAACGACAGAAACAATTGCACCCGAAGTGGCAAAACCTGTTGAGCCGGAAATCGAGCCAAAAGTTGCGGAACCAGAAAAAACAGTTGAAACAAATGTTACGCCAGATATTGAAACAAAACCGGAAACCACTGAAAATCCGTCGGAAGAAGAAGTGCCCGAAGAGAAGACATTACCCATTGAGACCACAACTGCTTTGATTGAGACGACTACTGCTTCGGTTGAGACCATTTCCACGACTGAATCGAGTGCTACAATCACTACAACGGCTTCAATCGAGTCCACACCTGAAGTTGAATTCAGTAATACGGCTGTAATTCAAGTGCAAGACTCGGGAAGTGGAACCTCATTGGAACAACTGATGGCAAACGCTGTTATGACTTCTGATGGCAATTACGTGCTAATGGCTCAGACAGAAGACGGTCACGTGACTGGACTGCCATCTGAGCTGAATCTCGCGGATGTCATCAACTCGGGAGCGGCTGGCGGTCAGACCTTTTTGATCGAAACCCCTGAAGGACTGGTGGCGTGCACTGCATCCACATCTGGAGAAGACGGAGCCATTCAATTGATTCCAACAGAGGCGGCAAACATTGAGAGCTCAACGCAATCGTCAGTGAACTCTGTGGACAACCAACTAATTCAAGCCATTGGTTCGCAGTCCATGTCTTATACATTTAACTCAAGTTCTGGTTGTCTTGAGTTGACTCCTGTGAGTCCCACCACAACAACAGCCGCACCAAAACCGGCCCGAAGTCGAGGCGGAAACCGAACTCCAAAAGCCAAGAATATATCGACGCCGGCATCGATGGGCCAAACGTTACTCATGTCGTCGATCGACACTATCACTAGTGACAGCCCAACAGTTGACACTACAAAGCTGTCGACTCCGGCATCCGCTCGAAACAGAGGCGGCAAAGGAGGCCGAGGAGGAGGAGGTCCGAAGAGTGCCGGCGCTTCTAATACTAATTCAAACATCACTTTAAGTTCGCAACACATGAAAGGCAACTCAAAGTCTGTATTTCCAGCCGAACCAATCAAATCGAGTGCTGGTGTTAATAGTCTGTCAGCGACCAGTGGTCCGCCCGGTCCGAGTCAATTGGCCGCCTCTCGGCGGACATACAGCAAGAAATCCAATATCGTTTGGATAACACCGGACGCATCGCACGGACCGGCGAACACACCGTTCGCAACGGTGACCACCGCTACCCCTCAACTCCATTCGCCCAACAAATCCACGTCTAGTTTAGTCACTAAGAATGCGACACAACAACAGTCACCGCGCGTTACGTCGCCCACAAAGACTGCACCGCAAACACCAATCGCTCCCATTGTCTCCAAAACAACAACTCCCGCAACCATTGCTACTAAAGGCACCACTTCTCCGGTCAAAATGATCACCGCTTCGGCCACTAAAACGGTTACGACCCCTAAGAGTACCGCAGCGAAGACAACACCGCAATCCTCAACAACTAAAGTGCAAACACCAAACCTATCTGTGAAGAGCAGTCCCATCACAAAGAGTGAAACCATCACTAAAACAACAATAAGGATGAGTGATATAACGGCCACTAAAACTACGGTCTCAACGCCGGCGCCTAAAGTGATGGCCACCAAAACGGTGGTCACCGTTCCCTCACCTGTCAAAGCAAAAGCATCTGCGAAATCAACACCGAAGGCAATCCAATCGTCCACACCGTCTGCGAAGGTAACCACTGTGTCAACTAAAACGGTTCCCACAAAACCAAACGTAACGACACCCGTAAGCAAACCAATCACATCCACGCCTGCCGTCAAATCTAAACCAATTCAGGCATTGAGTGCTGAAAAACCTGCGAAAACTCCGCCAACGACTCGAACCTCGACTACACCTAAAGACACAAAAACTAGTGTTTCATTAGAATCGCCGGTTGTTTCGCAACCGATTGCCGTCAAATCAAAGGCCACTTCAGCTCTCAGTAACTCGACTCCAGATATCACTGTTAAAGACACGACCGCTTCAGAGACTGGAAAAGTTAGTATTAATCGAAATGTGGAAACAAGACATTCGTCACGACTTTCGCCCACAAAATCATTAAAAGCATTAAAATCTGAAACGAATAAAGAAATAACTAAATCAAAGACACCACTAATTATAGCAGATTCTGATAAACCAAATGTTCAATCTTTGCAAACAACTAATGAAAAGGAAGACCAGAAAAATAAATCAAGTCTTGAAATTGAGGCGAAAAACAAAGCCAACAAAGAAAGCACTGCTTTAAACACTTCGGCCAAAGAGTCAACTGAGAAGAGCAAGAAGTCTGAAACACACAAAATTGAAACCAACGAACACAACGACGGCAACAAATTGACCCGAAAATCACTTAGAAATTCAAGAAGTAATTTAGTTATCGATGACATTAAAAAAGATAAGAAAGAAACCAAAGTTGTCGTAGAAGTGAAGCCAATTGAAAAAGCAGTGGAAACTCCCACTGAAATCGTGAGCACAAGGAGAACGTCGCGTAAGAAAGAAGTGGTCAGTACTCCAAGTGTTACGAAACCAGAGAATCCACAGCCAGTAGAAGAGCCCGTCGCCACTCCGACCCCTACAGAACCGACAGCACCAGCTGTTTCTGCTGTGAAGACACCATCGGTTTCTACTGTGAAGACGCCATTGGTTTCTGCTGTGAAGACGCCATCGGTTTCTGCTGTGAAGACGCCATCGGTTTCGGCTGTGAAGACGCCATCGGATTCTGTTGTGAAGACGCCATTAGTTTCTGCTGTGAAGACGCCATCGGTTTCTGATGTAAAGACGCCATCGGGAAGAGTGACGCGCGCCTCGACTGGTAAAACACCTGAACCTAAACCTAAAACACCGAAAGCAGCGAAGGCTTCATTGGATTCGAAAAACCAAAATAAAACCATTAAAGAGAAGACACCGGCGGATAAACCTGAGCCCAAAGTGATGGACGAATTCGATAGGATTGTGGAGAAAACGAAACCACAGCCGACGACGACAACGATGTCGACACCCGAAGCCATTAAGACAGTGGCGCCCATTACTCCCACTACGAGTGGTTCGGCCAGAAGTGTGAAGAAAAAGGTTCAGTTTGAGCTGAAAGACAAGTCTGGGGAACAAACAATAGAGGAGACGGAAGAGTCGAGTCGATCGTCACGGCGTTCGTTGAGATCGAGTACACCTCAGGAGAAGAAAGACGACGAGTCGAACAAAACTCCTTATAATGAGAACTCCATTGAAAGCGATGTGAATAACAAAACACCGCAACGGCTCTCAACCCGTAAACGAAAAGAAGTGCCCAAAAGTTCTTCAGCCGAACCGGAGATAATTGCATCAAAAACATTGAAAAAGACGACTAAATTTGATATTAATTTCGCCGAAAGTGCTGTAAATTCAGAGAAAACGGTCAATTCATTCAGTTCTTCACCGATTGGAGGATTTAGAAAATCAAAACCTATGCATCAAAAACATTGAAAAAGACGACTAAATTTGATATTAATTTCGCCGAAAGTGCTGTAAATTCAGAGAAAACGGTCAATTCATTCAGTTCTTCACCGATTGGAGGATTTAGAAAATCAAAACCTATTAGAAGTTCGTTTAGAGATAGTGTTCGCCACAGTTTAGAGACATCTGAAGTGAATCGGAATCGAAAGCAATCTTTAATTCAGTCTTATATTAATGAAAGCGAATGGAAGGAAAAAGAGGATAATTTAAGGCGAAAGACAATATCGTCTTTGTCTGATCTCCGGAGTCCTAACGAGTGTTACGATTACTCGACAAATGAATGCGTGTTTTACGTTAGACACCAATCGGTTTCATTGAATCCCAAACAAAGTACTGGCAATTATTTGTGCCAGAAGTGCGGGTTTCACACGACAAGAATCAATAATTTAGTGGTCCATCACAGGGATCAGTGCTCTTACATCAAGAATGCAGTCATCAAGCAATGGCAGACAGAGCTTCACAAGAGAGCCAAACCCACTAACAGTGCCGACTCGACCGACACTACGAGGCCTGAGACCAAGAGAAGGAAACTCGACAACAATGAAGATATGAACCATTCTTTGGATGAGTCGGAAGACGATTCAGGCGACGACACAAATGAGGATCTCATCAAAATGAGACAAAGTATAGAAAAAGCAAATCAAAACCCAACCATTAGTGACATCGACGCTATGTTAATGGGTTCGGACGACGAGGACCTCCTTTCCATTGATAATATAGAGAATCCTAAGCGAGAGTTTGGGTTCACTAAAGTATAGAAAAAGCAAATCAAAACCCAACCATTAGTGACATCGACGCTATGTTAATGGGTTCGGACGACGAGGACCTCCTTTCCATTGATAATATAGAGAATCCTAAGCGAGAGTTTGGGTTCACTGACGACGACATAGTATGGGTCGAAACAAATAACACTCATTGGCCGGCATTGGTCTCAAAGGTGTTTTTCAAAGAGAAGAAAGCATTAATTAAACTCATTGACAGTCCTTTACCCAAAAAGAGGTACCATTTCATGATTAATTTGATTACGAGTTACTCTAATAAGGAAATAACATTTGCATTGCTTTCTAGTCTGAAACTAAGCGTCGCTTCGATCTCAGCGTTCGATAGCGCGGAAGTAAATAAGAAGTATTTACGCGAAAGCCGTAAAGGAAGTAATGGCGACGCTCTCGTCAAAGCCGTACAAAAAGCGGAGGAATTTCTGCGCAAAAAGTGTTTGGGCAGTGAATTGAGTGCCGCCAAGTTCTTCGACCACTTGGACAGCGATTTGATAAAGTATAGAAAAAGCAAATCAAAACCCAACCATTAGTGACATCGACGCTATGTTAATGGGTTCGGACGACGAGGACCTCCTTTCCATTGATAATATAGAGAATCCTAAGCGAGAGTTTGGGTTCACCGACGACGACATAGTATGGGTTGAAACAAATAACACTCATTGGCCGGCATTGGTCTCAAAGGTGTTCTTCAAAGAGAAGAAAGCATTAGTTAAACTCATTGACAGTCCTTTACCCAAAAAGAGGTAACATTTAATGATTAATTTGATTACGAGTTACTCTAATAAGGAAATAACATTTGCATTCACTTCTAGTCTGAAACTAAGCGTCGCTTCGATCTCAGCGTTCGATAGCGCGGAAGTAAATAAGAAGTATTTACGCGATAGTCGTAAAGGAAGTAATGGCGACGCTCTCGTCAAAGCCGTACAAAAAGCGGAGGAATTTCTGCGCAAAAAGTGTTTGGGCAGTGAATTGAGTGCCGCCAAGTTCTTCGACCACTTGGACAGCGATTTGAGTGAAGCCACCGCTGATGAGGACGAGAAGATTGTCTCCAATTCTAAAGATGGTGTCGCAGAAGAGAAGTCAAAACCTGTTAACGAAATCACTTCTGACGGAAGTTTGCCTCCCATTGGAAGCAATGGAAACGATTCCGAAACGGAAAGAATGCCCGAAAGTAATGAAGCGATCGCTCAGTGGAAGGAAAAGCGAAGACAACAAAATGCAAAACTCCTTCAATGTATTAAAGACGCAAAAGTGGAAACACATTTGTTGGGCGTCTATAGGGAGTCGATCGGCAGTGAAAGGCATCTCAAGTTTAAGAGTGGCTCCGAGTCTGAGAAGAATCAGTTGAAACACGTGCCGTGGTTTGGACCCATCGATGATGAAGAACAACAGGAAGAGATATACGACTACTGCTCCCAACTCTTTAAAGCCAACTTCAAAACAGAGGGTTCTTTCGATACCGTGGCCTATATTTTTGAAGTGTGGGTCCCAGAGGTATAGTTGAATGAGTGGTATAACTAATTTGCGTGTATTTAATGTGTGATTGATTTGTTTGTTTAGGCAATAGTAAAGGCGATCAGTAGAGTGCGAAGGATTGAATTGAAGGATTCGGAGTCGATATTCGCAAAGGGAGTGATTTTGAGTAAATCAGAAAAGGATGAGTTGACTAAAGAGATTCAAAAAGAGGCTGAAAAACAGTTGACTTCTCAGACCAGTTCTGACTAATTATAATTATAATCATTGTTTTCATTAATATCGTAATATCGATGGCTTTATTTCGATTTGCATTTAAATATATAGTAGACGACAATTCATTATTCATTGAGTTTTTTCTTCAAATTCTTGTTTAATGTTATTTTGTAATCATTTGTTTCGATCCATTCATAACAATACATGTCATGAAATGCCATTTAAAACAATTACTTTTATTTAATGCTTAAATTTACTGAATCGTAGGTTTTATCAGATAATATATAACATACGGTAGACATTTGCCACCGTTTTTGACCTAAAAACTTATGTCACACTAGAATTGTGTTTTCAAATTGTGAATAAGTTATTGCGAATCAATGCAATCGAAGGCATTCTTTCCAATCGAAGAGTTTACCCAAAATTTAAATCTCAATTCATTGTATAGTAAAGTCTTCATTAATAGTAAACCATTTTGCGATTAATTTAGATATTATATATTGTATTCAATTATAATTTGTTTTATTTTACTTTTTTGTGTTTTATTTTTAGTTCATTTGTCAAAAATCGCCAACAATTACATTAAATGCGAACCACTTTTAAATAAAATTAAAATATTTTTCACAAAACTATTTCATGATTATTATTATTAATTGAACTCTAAATCGGTGTTCAATGAAATCACAAATTACTTGTCAACAGTTGACCGACGATAACATATTTTACTAACTAATGGGAAATTTGGATGTTTCCAAATATACAACAATTATTTTTGTTTAAATGTTATGTACTAACCATTGGGTCATTGGATAGTTAATTAAATACAACGCTTACTATTTATACATTCTAATCGATTGTCTTAAATTAAACTAATTGTGTTCAACTTTAACATGTT